CTCTGGGCACCAGGGGGTCCCACAGACCCTGTGCCTATGCCGAAGGAGCCTCCCGCATCCAGCCGAGCTAAGGGAACGACAGCGCTGTGCTCTCCCCCTCCTGAGTTGGGTCACGGCGCAGGGCCACGCTCCTCGCTGACGGCTCCACGGCGGTGAGCGGCTGTCAGCTCTGATCCAGCGTGAGCGGTGCTTCCCTGGCGCGATTCCTCGCAGCACGGGGCAGCTTCTTGCCAGGGCAGCACGGGCTTTTTGGGGTCCCCTGCCGAGCGTTCCAGCAGCAACCCGACTCAAGGCCCCGCGCGTGGGGGCCAGGTTCAGCGGGAAGCAAACCCAGAAGCCCATGCTGCCCTCAAAGCTGGGTGTGACCCCCAAATCTCAACCTCCCCTTAGGGATCCCAATCCCTGCCCAGCCCCAGCAAGGAATCACCAGGGGAAACACCAGGAGTGTGCCAGTGACCTCCCTCGGGCAAGGGTCGGGTGAGACTGCCCCTGCTCCTGGCATTGTCACACCCACAGCCTGTGACATCACGCTTGTGACATCACATGCGACATCAGAGGAAGAAGGTCTCTGCAGCCCCAATCATTCCAAAGTTCCCTCGGATTCAAAGGCCCCAGAGTGCTGACGTCTCAGCCTCTGCTCTGCAATGTGTCGGGGAAGGAATCTAAGTGCCCGATCCCTTGTCCCCATCGACACCCAGAGAGGGTTTAAGGATTAGGTCAATGCCATCCCTATATTACAGGTGGGGAAACTGAGGCACAGAAACGTGGCGCAACTGATGCAGTTTGGCCCAGGAGTTGGGTCAGAGTCAGGTTTAGAACCTGGCAGCTCCTCGCTCCGGTCTCTGAGCATTGGCCCCCCACTGGCCCCCGTTCCAACTCCCTTTAGACCCAGATCCCATTGCCAGGAAATGCCCAATTCAGATGCCACTGTGAACATGGAGCATAAGCACCGACCCCGGTGGGAGGCAGACGGATGTGCGTGAAAACACGGCTGGATGTGCACAGATGTGCACAGACACACATCCGCCGCTCTGATGGAGTTTAAATGCCTGGGCTAGGCTAATCAGCCACTGACAGCCAGTCTCAGTGAGGCTGTGTGTGGGGGGGGGGGGGGGGGGGGGAGCATTTGGGGTCACCTAGGCAGAAGACAGCCAGGCATAGCATAGGTGGCACCATCCATAGGACTTTGCCAAGGCTCCCTTCCCAGAGCCAAGCGTCGGGCGTCGGTGGAGCAGAGCTGAGAGCGGGTGGCAGGCTCTGGGTCATGGGAAAACTCCTCCTAAAGTCTGGGATGAGGCCCAGCAAACCTGTCTCTCCACACGGCGATCAGGAGCCGGGCAGGGAGCCCGGAAGAGAAAGGAGAGTCAGGGGCGACTGAGGCAGGCCCCCGCCGAGGAACCCGGGTCGCTCGCTCCCCTTCCTGCTAGCGGTGAGGCAGATGGGGATGGTTTTGAGAGGCCAGCTTCAGACGGGAGGAGACGAGGGAATTTAGGGACAAAGCAGCCGCCTCTCACGGCCTCTCCCAGGCCCCCCCCCCCGCCCACCCCGTGCACGGAGATTTGAGGGGTGAAGCAAGGGGGCTGGGCTCAGCAGCTGGAGGGCTTCAGAAATCAGCTCCAGGAGCCAGGAACTCCCAAGTCCAAACCGTTTATTAGCACCCCCCTCCCCCTGCCAAAACAACCACCCAGCAGGGGCAGAGATAAGGGCACCCACCGGGTGGCGCTACCCCATCAGTTGGCCCCTGTTTAGATAGGCCGAGGCTGGTGGTTTGCAGCCCTGGATGGCCGTGACCTTCAAAGCTCAGCCTGGTCGGCTTCTCTGTGCTAGACGCAGCCTCAGGCCCTGGAGTTTCCAGCTGCAAGACGCCAGCCCAGAGCCCCCCCGAGCTCGCCAGGCCGGACTGCGGAGGAGAGGAGCGGCCGGCAGGGAGAGCCCAGAGGGGTCTGATTCCTCTCTCCGTGACCTCCCGGGCTGATGTCGCCGTGCTCAGCCTCCGCACTGCAGATCGTCTCAGCGCTGCCTGGGTGGCAGAGCCATTACTCAATCCCATCCCCTCTGCCGCTCGGAGCCGGTACCTGCAAGGAGACGGGCGCTGGCGCTGCCTTCGCACCCAGCGTTCCCTCGCCCGCAGACAGCGAGAGACGCCAGGGAGCCGCAGGCAGTTCATGGCCCATCGCGGTCCTGTGGCAGCTCAGGGAGCAGCGGGTGACGGGCCCTGCTCCCGTGCCACAGACAGCGCTCCCAACACGGCCAACAGCGCCTGCAACGTGGTCAGGAAAACTGACACACGCCGGCAACTGGTACATACCCCGCCACACACACAGAGAGGCTACCGATACACACACCAGCAACAGTACACGCTACACACACTGGCAACTGGTACACACCCCGCCACACACACAGAGGCTACCGCTACGCACGCCAGCAACAGTACACGCTACACACACTGGCAACTGGTACACACCCCGCCACACACACACACACACAGAGGCTACCGATACACACACCAGCAACAGTACACAACACACACACCAGCAACTGGTACACACCCCGCCACACACACACACACAAAGGCTACTGCTACACACACCAGCAACAGTACACAACACACACCCCGGCAACTGATACACACTCAGCCACACACACAGAGGCTACCGCTACGCACACCAGCAACAGTACACACCGGCAACTGGTACACACCCCGTTACACACGGATAGCCTACCACTACACACACCAGCAATAGTACACAGACCACACATACTGGCAACCGGTACACACACCACACACAAAGGCTACTGCTATGCACACCACCAACAGTACACACACCACACACAGAGGCTACCGCTACAACGCAGCAGCAACAGTACACACCGGTAACCGGTACACATACCACACAAAGGCAACTGATATACACCCCACCACACACACACACAGGCTACCACTATGCACACCAGCAAACAGTACACACACCACACACAAAGGCAATCGGTACACACATCACACACACCGGCAACTGATACACCACACACGCACACTGGCAACTGGCACACACACACACCAACAACCGGCACACACACCGGCAACTGGGTACACACACCACACTCAGAGGCAACCGCTACACACACACCGCACATGCAGGCAGAGGGACATCCCAGCTCACCCGCACAGCCCCGGGTGTACATAACACCCCCCCACACCCCATGCAGCGTAGTTGAGGGTAAGGGAATTTTCCTACTTCTCATGTGGGGACTACGGGGTTTAGTGCAGTTTACCCACTTCTTTTTTTACCGCTACACCCGTCTACACAGTTACACGCCCAACCCTCACCTGCCCCGTAGCGCGTTCCTTAGCGCTTCGCGTGTCCTTAAGTGCTGTGGAGGCAAGAAAACACGACAATGAATCCTCCCAGCCATCCTTGTGAGACAGCCTGTTTTACAGAAGGGGAAACTGAGGCAGGGGGCGGGAAGGGATTTGCTCAAAGTCGAGTCAGTGGCAGTGGTGCTCCGGGCTCCAGTTCACTAGTCCACACTGTCTCTGCGCACGAGGGTGTGAATGTGCACACACAAACGCCCGTGCCTAGACACACGCACTGATGTCCATTCACATCTCTAGGCACACAAATGGACAGCGCACACTTATCAGACACACAATCCTGGAGGCACTCGCGTCTCCCCGTGTGCGCACACAGCACACTGAATCCACACACACGCCGCAGACACCTGCGTATTAGACTGACACTTCTCTGGGGCAGGGACTGGCCTTTGGTTCTGTCTGTACAGCGCCTAGCGCAACGGAGTCCTGATCCACGACCCGGGCTGCGGGATGCGATCCCCTCCCAGGGCTGCCCTCCATTGGAAGGACCGGCCTGCCCAATTCAAAGGGAGCCTCAAAAGACACCACCCCCAAAAACACACACACGCTGTTGCAACGTACGCCTCAGGTAACCACGTCCCAACTCCCTCCTGCTCCGGAAACAGATACGGATCCACACGGGCGGGTGCCTGTGGGCTTAGGATTTGTCAGCTGGGCGACGCTCAGTCCGGGGTGGGGAAGTGGGAGTGATGACACACACCCTAACCGACCCCCCCCCCCCGTCATCAGCCTCTCAAGCTGGGGAGGGGCTGGCACCAAGGGGAAAGGGGACTGGCACAGAGGGGGCGGGGAGCTGCAGGGGAGCTCAATCCAGGGGAGGGTTCGTGGGGTGAGACCCTGGCTCAGTGGCCAGGCTGGCACCCTTCATAGACTGGTGTCCCCAACCATGCCATCTCTGGTGTGCAGGAGGAGATGCAGGGGTAATACACGGGTGGGGTGAGAGGGGCTTAACAATAATCCAGGCTGGCCACAAACTGAATGAAGGCGGGAGTGCGCACTAGCGGTTAGAGCAGGAGACTGGCAGTCAGGATCCCTGGGTTCTATTCCCAGCTCTGACCACGTCTTCCTTGGATGACCTCGAGCAAATCATTCAGTGCATGTGCCTCAGTGTCCCCAGCTCTGGGATCCCAGGGGACTTAGCTTAGGGTTGTAAAGCACTCTGAGCCAGCGAGACAATACGTGAGACTCGATCCCATTATTACTAGGATGACAGGAAAATCCAGGCCAGGCCAGTTGTACTAGGGGCAGCCAGTCATCACCATGTGATGGCCTGTGTGAAATGAGTTTGCCAGGTCTCATCCATTCCTAGCGGGCAGGGGCCCCTATCAGCAAAACCCACTGCACGTTTGGGAGCAAGAACCTGCTTTGCAGAGGGGCCGATGGCACAGGACTCTTTGGCGGGAGTTCTAAGCAACCAGCACCTTTGGCTACTGAGCCATAACCCGCCCCTTCTTAGCCATCTCCTCGAGCTGTTGGGGCCTGAACTCATCCATCTCAGCCCTTTGGACTCTGGGCGAGAGCGCCAGAAGAAGCTGCCTGTGCTCTGATGGAGGAAGGGAATGCAGCCCAGCCGGCATCAAAGGCAGGCAGGTGCCCAAAGGCCATCGGGCCGAGAGACGCCCCTTACCTCTTCCCACTGGTGGATGTAGCGGATGAGCCGGGAAAGGCGCAGCAGACGCAACAGGCTGAGGATCTTGGTGAAGCGGACGATGCGGAGGGCCCGGGCCGTTTTGTACACCTCCGAATCGATGCCCTTCTCCACGATGAGAAAAATATAATCCACAGGGATGGAGGAGACAAAATCCACCACGAACCAGGTCTTCAGGTACTTCTTCTTAATCCTCTCCGGGTCCAGGATGATATCCGTGTTGTCCTCGATGATTATCCCTGTGCGGAAGTTCAGCACCAGGTCCATGAGGAAGAACGTGTCAGAGACCACGTTGAAGACGATCCAGGGGGCCGTGGTCTCCTCCTTAAAGAAGGTGATGCCCACCGGGATGATGATGAGGTTGCCCACCATGAAGAGAAGCATCGTGAAGTCCCAGTAGAACCTGGAGAGGCAGAGCAGATGGAGACATCACCGACAAGCCCTCCGCGTTCCCTCTTGGTTTACTGTGCTCCCGCCCCTGCCCATCCTCACAACGGCCTCCTGCAGGCGTGACCCTCCTGGGAAGCTGGGGTGGGAAATTGAGCTCCGTGTGGGGCTCCGAGCAGCACAGGGTGGAGTCACCCCGTAACGGGTCGATTCGCCAGCTCTGCCCCGGAGGGGTGGCATGGCAGCAGCATTTAGGCACAATGGGCAACATGCCATGTGGCGCCTTGATGCCAGATAATCCCTTGTCCCACTTCCCTCTCCTCCCCCTCCCTGCCTCATACCTGCTGCCGGGAAAAGCTTCCCCGTGTGTCTGGTCCCTCCTCCCCCAAACCCAGCTCTCTGGAACCTGCCCCCCGTTCTCCTCCCTTCCTTCACCCTCCTCCTCGTGGGGCTCTGTGCTTGTCTGAAGTAGGGCCTGACTGCAAACACATGCAGTCCAATGGCTGGATGAGGTCACCCACGGTGGGGGTGTCTGCAGGGCCCCACGCTCTGCGGGGCAGGGGATTTTCTAACGCTAGGTCTGTGCACGTTCGAGGTGCCGGATCAGCATCGGGCTGGACCATAAAACGGGAGCTAAGGAGACGGAGCAGCAGGAAATGTAGCGAGCTCCATCAGCCGGAGGGATCTGCAACCCCCCATCGCTTGGGACAAACAACCAGGCTGGGAGAGGCACTGCAGGGACAAGGGGCATGGACCCCAATTCAGCAACCCGGGGCCTACTGGCCACCCAACTGCCTGAGCTTCTCACGGCTCCCTCGTCCTTCCTGGTCATGCCGGGAAGGCAGCGCTGGAGCTGGGAACAGAACCCAGGAGTCCTGACTCCCCGTCTCCTGCTCTAACCCCTTGAGAGCGCTTCCCTTCCGAGAACAAGCCGGATCGGTGTCCTCTGACCCGGAGCCATTCAGGGCCGAGAGGTGGAAATCTGTCCCGGGAAGGGACAGAGCACTGACCCCAGAAACCCCATCTCCCCAGAGGCTCCACGTGGAAGGGGGGAAGTGGCGGGGAGGGGGAAGGGAGCCTCTCTCTCAGGGATTGCCTCCAGAGAGAGGCTGGGTTTGAATCACGTACAACTGCAGCTTAAGCCAGTGCTTCCTGCAACCTCCGTTAGACGGAGGGAGGAGGGGCAGATTAAGGTTTGGGGGTCTACTCTCGCCTCCCCAGTGTGTTTTCCACCCGGCCCCAACTCCCCTGGCCCTTCCCCGCCCCTTCAGGGCCAGCAACGACCTTTCCCAAGCGCCTGCAAGGTCGAAGCAGAGCCCCACGGCCCCATCCTAACATTAGCATGCTGCTCCCGTCTCCTCGTTAACATGGTGCTCACCCTCTCCGGGAACGCACCAGCCCCTTGCAGCAGAGCAGTCATGTGTCCACGCGGGTGTGTGTGTGTGGGGGGGGGGACACGGAGAGAACGCTGCGGGTTTAACAGCCCAATGCTAAAGAAAAACACGTGCACCCCCTCCTCTCGCCGTACCCAGGAACGCAGCCAGTGGGCCCCTTGCATCCCCCCCCCTTGCATCCCTGTCTAACCTCCGGGTGTCTCTGAGCAATTGGCTGGGGCGGCTAATTCCCAGCCTCTCGTCCCCGTGCACCAGATACCCTGCTCTGCTCGATAAGATAATGACACGGGGCCGGGATGCGGTTTTTGCCAGCACTGGGTGATGCCGCTGCTCCGAAGAGCCTCATTTTCTACATGGGTGGGTAGTTCATCGCTTACTCTAATGATGGCAATTTATTCGTGCAGTTCCTGGGGGCACCTCGTTGCATAAACGGTCTCAAAGCCGCAGGACCGAAGCAAAGGCAGGTGCAAGCCACAGAAAACCCAGAGAGGGGAAGCAGACAGATATACGTGGTCACTCCTGGCTAAGGAGATAGTATATATTTGCGGGGGGGAGGGCTGGCTCTCCTCTCCCCCCTCCATTCTCTCCCTCATAAAGGCCGGCACATGAATAGAATTAAACCTGCATCTTTCAAAAGGAAACGCAGCTCTCCCTTGGCAGCCAGCCTCCTGACCTTTCTCCAGTGACAGCCTGCACCTGAGACGTTTCCATGGCAACAGCTAGTGACGTCACAGCTGCACAATTATGACTTCAGAGCACAGCACGGGGTGCGTCTCCAAGGTACCCTTCAATTATCCCCCGAGGATGCAGAGGGAACATTCGCAGCTGAGAGGACAGAGAGGCAGTACGGTCTAGTGGCTTTGTATTGAGGGCCTGGGTTCTATTCCCAGCTCCGCCACAGCCTTCCTGTATGACCTTGAGCAAGTCACCTAATCTCTTTGTCTCTTAGGGTCCCCCTCTAGCCGGTCAAGGAGGCAGCAACGGGTGGCAAGAGAGCTCCACCGGGACCTCCTCAGGGAGCGAGTAGGTGGTGGGGATTCCACCTACCCAGACGTCACAGTAATCTGAGTGCCTCACCTGTATTAGTCAAGCTAGTCCTGTGACTCAAGTATTATCCCCATTCTACCAACAGACACCTGAGGCAGAGAGAGGGAATCGAACCCAGGTCTCCCACGTTCCCCTGTCGCACCTTAACCACAAGACCACTCCCCTTCCCTTTCAAAGTCACGGGGGGAGGGCCTTAGAGTTCAAGGAACGCTGGAGTAGGGGGAGACTGACAGAGGAGAAAGGCCCCCAAATCTATTACCAACTGCACAAGCCATCTTGCCCCAAATTCGACAAGCTAGATCCCAAAACACCCCTAAGACTCTCGAGGGTAGCTCTGCCCGGCTCAGGATTCCAGGGGCCCGGCCGAAGCAAAACTTTCTGTCCTTGCCTCCGCTAGGGGGTCTGCCAATGCCAGTGTAACTTCCTTACCACCATTTCCTGAGAACTTGTCCCAGACGCTTAAGAGTTCTAAACTCCCTCAGCGCAGAAGCCTGCTGCAGAAGTTTGCACTAATCCTTTTAAATGTTGCCACTGGAATTTCAAGACTGCAGATGCAACAACAGGGCAAACAATCAGAGCAACCCCATTCCTCCTACAAACACTACTTCTAGGATGTATTAGCAGACGTGTTGTAAGCAAGACACGAGAAGTAATTCTTCCGCTCTACTCCGCGCTGATTAGGCCTCAACTGGAGTATTGTGGCCCGTTCTGCATGCCACATTTCAGGAAAGATGTGGACAAATTGGAGAAAGTCCAGAGAAGAGCAACAAAAATGATTAAAGGTCTAGAAAACATGAGCTACGGGGGAAGATTGAAAAAAATTGGGTTTGTTTAGTCTGGAAAAGAGAAGACTCAGAGGGGACATGATAACCTTTTATGTGCTTGGAAACTGTTGTTAGAAGGAGAAGCGGGGGGAAATTGTTCTTCTTAACCTCTGAGGATAGGACAAGAAGCAACAGGCTTAAATTGCAGCAAGGGCGGTTTAGATTGGACATTCGGAAAAACTTCCTAACTGTCAGGGTGGTTAAGCATTGGAATAAATTGCCTAGGGAGCTTGTGGAATCTCCATCATTGGAGATTTTTAAGAGCAGGTTGGACAAACACCTGTCAGGGATGGTCTAGATAATACTTAGCCCTGCCATAATGGTAGGGGACTGGATTAGATGACCTTTCGAGGTGCCTTCCAATCCTACGATTCTATGATATGATTCCTCCTAGGCTGAAATCTTGAGTTCATTCGAATTCAGCACCACGGACAGCTCACCGCGGTCAGCGATTCAGAGCAGAGAACATTTGTAAACTAATCCCCAGCAACAGAATGCCAGAGAAAATGAAACAGTGCAACCATCAAATATTTTTCCAGCCCAGCCTAGAATATGCTTCATTACCAGAGTGCAGAAAGCAGAAAATTTAGGGTGAGTAAACAAGCAACACATGACTCGTGTAATAGCAGGGAAGGAACCGGCATCCCCCCTACCATTAACCAATTCCACATTTAATTAGTCATGATGCTGCTTGAAGGTTAATAGCCATCGGGATAAATAAGGATTTAAAGACACAAAGAGCAAGCCCCTGATTTCCACATCCTACACTGCCACCCACTGGCTTTGTGGGTGCTCAGCACCTTTTAGATCAGGCCCTAAGGCCAAAAGTGTCATACCGAGTTGTCTAAGGTTAGGCTCCTAAATCAAGATTGAGGCACCTAAGTATAAACAGCCTGGTTTTCAGAAAAGCTGCACACCCACATATCCACCGGAAGTTCACGGGAGCAGTGGGCCATCACTGCTTTTGAAAAAAAGGAATCGGGCCACTTATTTAAGTGGGTTTGGGAGCCTAACGGTACAAACCAGGTTTGAAAAGTTTGGCCCAAGTGTTTAAGATCCAGTGAGACCTACATTATTGAACCCAATCTCAAACAGTCAAGTACGCAAGGATTCCAACACAGCTGTGTGTGCCATTTCATTGGCCACCAATGTCCTGTATGGATCCTTTGGGGGATTACCTTGCAGCATTCTTAGCAGTCATCCAAAAAGATTCCCAAACCCTTAAAACATGTCCCTGAAGCAGCAGTTGCTAGCTTATGTTCCTGATGAACAAACTACCAAGTCTGTCTCCCATCTATCAAATAGGAGCACTTTGCATTAATTCCATAGCAAGGAAGAATCACCAAAGATATCAGTAATAACCAGTTCATCAGAGCGGTCTCTCAGCTCACAGAGAGAGGGCATCAGATAAATATGTAGCTAAGGTGTCATTTTAAAAAACCACCACCTGAAACAACAGGCCAGACATCCCAGGGAAGCAATACAAATTCTGGTAAAACTACTAGCGCAGCAGCTGCATGCTTTGCAGCATCACAAGCCACATGGGCAACTTGCCATGGGTATAAAGGCTTCAGCTAATTGGCACAAAATTGTTTATCTAAAACACACCCCTGCCATAACACTTGCTTTGACATATCCCTGCCTGGTAGCTCAACAGCTATTGCTTCACCAGCAGGACCTCACCAGAAATAAAAACCTGCAACTTGCCCAGGTTTATTTCCCATCTGCAGTTGCAGGGAAATGGTGC